CTTGTCGACGTGGGGGGCCAGGGCCGCGTGGGCCTTGGCGTAGATGGCGCAGTAGAAGTGGCTGTGCTGCGCCGTCGGCCGCCGCGCGACGATCTCCAAAGCCGCGCCGAGCGCCGCGGCCGCGGCCTCGCGGACGTCCGGCGACCGCGCGTCCATCAGCGCGGGCCAGACGCGCTCGAAGAAGTCGCGCACGCGCGCGTAGAAGAGCGTCGGCGCGTGCTTCGCGAGCTCGCGGAGCACCAAACACGCGGCGAGCCGCCGCTGCGCGCCGCCGGGCGCGTCCGCGGCGGCCTTGGCGCCGCCCAGATGGCCGTCGGCGCCCGCGGGCCGCTGGAGCCACTCCAGCGCCCGGCCGACCTCGAACTCGACGTGGTCGCTGCTGCTCGCGGGGCCCCGCCGCGCGAGTCTCCCGAGCGCGGCGGCCGTCCGCGTCACGAACTGGCGCTGGCCCTCGGGCGACCCGAGGAACTGGCTACTCCCGCCGCGGCCGTCGCCGACGCAGCACTGCTTGAGCGCGTTCGACAGCACGTTGGCGAACTTGATGCCCTTGGTCTCGGGCTCCGCGCTCGGCGCGCCGACGAGCGCCTCGATCGCCGCGACGCCGCCCAGGCGCTCCTCGACGTCGCCGCCGTGGTGCACCATGCGGAACAGGGTGCTGTAGAGCTCGTCCTCGAAGCGGCCGAAGGTCTCGCCGCTCATCTCCCGCGCGGCGCGGGACACGAGGCGCCGCAGCTGGTACGCCGCGAGCGTGCGCTCGCTCTCGTGCGACGCCCGCAGCAGCGTGAGAAGCGCTTCTCGCTCGAAGGCGTCCATGACGCTGAACGACGGGTCCAGCGAGCGGGCCATGGTGGCGGTGCCGCGCTGCCGCGCGCCGCCGCCGATGCCGCCGAACGAGAGCCTCTCGTGGTGCCGCTCAATCGCGGCTCCTTGAGGTCGGCGCGGCACGGGCCGGGCGCCGTCGCGCGGAGCAGTGTCGGCCAGCCATCGTTTTAATATGCTCGACGAGCATGATATTAGTCCTACTAGAAGTTTTATCCTCAGAATCCTCCTCGCTCGAGGACCAGGAGGCGTCAGCCATACAACAAACTGCGGATATGCGCCGTGTCTCCCATGGCAGAAGGAGCGAAACCGTCAATCGGGGCGCGCTCCGCGGGCATCGCGGCGTGGGCTGCCCAACTTTGGGAGCGCGCATCTTGGGGCGAGAGAGGCATGATAAGACAAAAACTGGGAGATTTGATTCGGAGGAACTCGGGAACGGGCCAGACGCTGTTGGCGCTGGCCCATAAGGTGCTTCGAGGAGGGAAAGGAAGTTTTTTACTTCTTCGCGAGGCATTTCAACAGGCCGAGTAGCCTCCAGTTCGAGGAGGCCTTCGGGAGCACATGGCTTAGGTACGCGCTCTTATCGCAGTAGTAGCGGGGGGGGGGTAGCGCCGGCGGTATAGCTTGTCATCGCCGTGGTCCGTAGCCTCGCGCCGTCGACGGCACGCGCGCGCGCGTCCGCGGCGGAGGTCTACTTGTCCTTGCACTTGTCGCCCTTCCACTTGCACGTCTTCTTGTTCGCCTTGCACTCATCCTTGGTCTTGAGTTTCTTGCACTTCGGGGTCGACGACTTGTACGGCTTGTCCTTGCACTTGTCCTTCGCCCACTTGCACGTCTTCTTGTTCGCCTTGCACTCGTACTCGCTCTTGAGTTTCTTGCACTTCGGGGTCTTGGACTTGGACGGCTTGTCCTTGCACTTGTCCTTCGCCCACTTGCACGTCTTCTTGTTCGCCTTGCACTCATCCTTGGTCTTGAGTTTCTTGCACTTCGGGGTCGACGACTTGTCCTTGCACTTGTCGCCCTTCCACTTGCACGTCTTCTTGTTCGCCTTGCACTCGTCCTCGCTCTTGAGTTTCTTGCACTTCGGGGCTTTGACGCTGTCGCCGACGGGCTGCGTCTGCACGGGCGCCGTCGTGGTCGCTGGCGGCGCCGTCGTGGTCGCTGGCGGCGCCG